AAACTTTCCTCACGAGGCTTTAAGGTCTATACAGTACAGGATACCCTGGTCTCTTTCTGTGTCAGTGATCAGTTTTGTTAGCTTTGTGGTTCAGAGCAGCACTTTGGTGACGGCTCAGATGACATCTCTCTTACACAAATACAGCGTTGAACGATGGCACATCTCTAATCCTCTTGGAAATAAGCAGAGAGAAGACAAACTTGCATAACAGCTAAAGTAAAAACAATGACACCACCCAAAAGGACATACACAAAACACGACTACATTTTGACTACACAGTATGTGAGTCACTGCGTAGTGCGACTTGCTGGCCAACGCCATGGCAACCAAAAGTGATTTTAACATCCTGGATCCACCTCAATGGAAACTGCTAACCGAAATTATACAAAAAGGTCAATGTGGTGCTAACGGATTCCTGTTTGAGGTACTGAGAATGATAATACGACACTATTAAAAAGAGCGGTGTACAACTTCTATCCGTGTGTGTGTGTGTGTGTGTGTGTGACTCAAAGTGGCACGTTGAGTTCAGTTTTAATGATTTACTCGGTGGCTAATAGTTTCACCTAATATATAAAAGCAGCTCTCATTATAATCAATCACTTTGATAGCCAATGTTAGTTTGGTAATGAGCCAAACAGAATACGTTTCAAATGCCTCCGATTAATCATATAATTGCAGATTACCGGTTACAAGATGTAAACACTGTTTTCCATGTACATCTTTACCAGGTGGGGCTCACTGTGCACTGTCTCTATGCTACGACGTCTCCCACAGGAATGGCACAACTACAAAATGTTTTCAATGAATCCCGGGCAAATGGAAATACACATTAGGATGATCATGCGACACTGTGCATCGTTGAACAACTGCTGATAGACCAGCCAAGCAGAAAAGAGACCAGACGATGCCACAGCCATGCTGGACGGACGAAAAAATAAACAAAAGAAAACCCAAAAGTGACTCAGCACACCAAACTTTTGCATGGTCATGAGAAAACCCACCAACAATAATGAATCCTAGACGATGTCTAAATGTTACTGTATGTGACGAGAGGAACTTAAAATGTTTCTGCATTATATTCACAATTTACAGTCTTATAAAAAAAAGACGTCTTCACTCTAAGCATCGATGTTTCAGTATCAGGTGTCTGCAGAAAACGTTCATGATTGATGATGATTCCCACTGTAGTTTCAGTTCTGAAGAACGTATGTGAGTAAATGAGTCGTCTGTCTGTTGGTTGGCACAGATTGTATCCTATAGTGTGCGCTGCTCATTAGGAACAACATAAAAGGGTTTCCTTCAGCCATTTCTGCATTTCTGACCTTTGACATCAGTCAGTGAAACAAACAGTGTCTTCAGCTCCTTTCCAGCTCTTTTTGTGGCAGTACTGAATAGACATGGTGTAGCAGTGAGAGCATAATTAGAGAAAATGTCTTCATAGAGGTGTGCAATGATTCCAGCTGTTTTTCCTTCCACCTCATTACAACAGTAAGGTTTCGTATACGCTGCCCTTTCTGAATTAAAACACACTGACAGTGAGCGAGCAGAGAGACAACCAGCACATGCAACTGCACAATAGCAAACTGTGTGAGCGGAAAAGCTTGGCGGCGTAAGGTCGACGTATGTCCGTGTTCCAAACATACACAAAGATGCAGCGGCATGTTTCTACAAGAAGCAGCAGAGCAAATGAAAAGCCAGAAACATGAACTTTTTGGGATGGGGCGGGCGGCTGCTTGCCTTCCACTGAGCACTGGCGTCCCATGTGGTAAGGGTTGCCATTGTGCATCTGCAGCTCCCCCCTCGGCTCAGGGAAGGTGTGCATTGTGGCAGAGGGGGGCAGTGGAGAGCCGTGGTGTGTCTTTATGTGCACCTTAAGGTAGGACGCAGTGGAGAAACCTGGGACCAGAAGAACAAAGAACAAGGCAGTTGTTTGACACACTCGAGGCCTTGACTGTAACGAGGGGCGTCCCGTTACACAATGGCAGGCTATTCAATACCGGCGATCCAATGCGTACCATGACTGGTTCGACCAGAGTAACACTCATGGTTAATTGACGGGATGTTAAATTAACAGCCATCTCTTTGATTTGTATCTCTCAACAGGGAAGAGCATCGCTAGATTATTGGAGGCGTGTAAATCCCTGCCTCGAGCAAACAAAGTGTGACGCGCATTGTAAAGAGACGCTATTTAAGGACAACATTGGTGTTCGTTTAATCCCTTTGTCATCTTTTACCCTTTAATCCACATTTCAGTTGTAGCTTCGTACACTTGTGTACAAAACACACTCAGGACTCAAAACTTTAATCTGATCTCCCTGTGTAGATAAAGGAGTCTTTAATGTGCAGGATCTCAACGGGTTCGACCAGAAAAAGGACGTGTTTGTGGTCTACGGGCTCAAAAACAGCAGAAGCCTGAGAAATGTTTTCAGCCTGAGTACAGTAAAGGCCAACTTTCAGGATCATTTGAAACATTCAGTGTGCGCATTTAATTCTGCCTACAGACCAAACAAGCCTTGGAAACACAAAAACAAGAATTATAAATATTTTGTAGAACTCAACCTGTCCCTGAAAGACACACCGCACCGTTTAGATGGAATGATTTGAATCCAAATGTAGTTTTTATCCTCATAAGGAGGAGAACAGAATAGAAGAGAGGTTTGAATAGCTCTATCAAATAAAGAAGCACAAGAGACTCGAACGGGAGAAGACACACTCTGAACAAAAGCTTTGGGAAATGTCAGGGGCGTCTGTGCTTCCTTCTGTTTAAATCAAACATGTTTTTATTTTTGTACACCCAATTTCAGTCTTAATTTAATCGTTACTGTACCACCCGTTTTAGGAACTGAAGAACGAACGCTGCAGTAGGGGACTAATGTTCGGACCGACGTTAGCGCCACGAAAGAAGTAGTTTAAATGACACAGCAGAGGTGTCAACACAGAAGGCCCCAGCAAAAAAAGTGGAACCGGGTTAAACTTCAGTCGCAAAGCAATGTAAAATGTCACCAGTGACAAAACGCGTCACGTATTTGGCTGACAAAGTGCACGGACAGATTCAATGTTGAGCGAACAGGTAAACTCTGATGAGAGAGCTTTACAGCTACGGTTTTACAGTCATCTACCTTCACGAAAGAGTGACGCAGGTTATCAGGAGTGTTTTGGTGTTTTGGACCGGTTTATCTATAATTTTACGTTAAAAATAGACAGAGTAATCGCAGTAGCCTCGCAGTAACTCCAGACCTTCCTCAGAACGCACAGCAGAGCCAGCAAATACCAAAATCTGATAAAGGCAGGTTTTTATCGTCTGAATGTCCATGACTTCAGTGCAGAGTGAATATCTGGTTGTTTCAGAGGAGCCTGAGGTATTTGAATAGTTACCTTTGTTGCAAATGCCGCAGTAGTTATGCGTTCCCTCGCTGTGTTTCTTGAGGTGGTCCGTCATGTAGGCGGCTCGCAAAAACTTGCCACAAACTTTGCAGGGGATTTTGTCCTCGTGGCATGCGAGGTGCGACCGGAGGCGATCTCTTGTAGCAAAAGAGGCGTTACAAATCTGCAACACAGAAATCAACACGTTCACACGGTTTAAAACCATCATTAGCGGTGGGTTGCCAGGGTGATATCAACTCTGACACACTGATCGGAAACGTTACCTGGCACTTGTGGGGTCTTTCTGTTGTGTGGACCTGTTTGATATGTCCGTTCAGGTGGTCTGGTCTGGAAAGAAAAAAGGAAAGAGAAGATATTTATTTCTAATACATTTCCACACAGCTAAATAATCTCTCTGCCATTGTTGGAAACAAAGACCCTAATTAGATTCATCTTTCTTAATTACTTACTGAAGAATAGCAACCAAGACAGCGTGTACTTGTCCGGTGGGTGTTGACGGAATTAAATCCACATTTGTCTTTATCTTTAAATGTCACATTTGTGCGGTGTCACTATATACGTCTTGTAAAATATCGGAGCCTGACTGATCTACTGAATTTGTTACATATAGTGAAAAATTAGAAAATAAAACATTACAGTGGGTCAGGCCATGAAATGCCAGGTCAGTGTATGTTGTGGTTATGTGGCATGCAATGTGCCGAAATACTGAATCCAAAATCACTACAGTAACTCCTTTGTTAAATGTGAATTTGGTCACGTCTCTGTCACAAACTTCCTTTCTTTCTTTTATCTGCATGTATTTTGACCTCCACCGCAGCAGGTGGTGACAGTGAGCTCAACACAGGGCCTGTGCACACGGAGCCTGGGAAACCAGTTTGTGTGGCTGAAGCCAAATGATGCAGAGGACTAGTCACTCAGTAACGGGTCTTTTTTCTAACGACGTTAACAGAAAGTCCGTGTAACGTGGGTAACATGTTTGAGTCAGTGTTTGTGGGAATTGGCTTTCTTAAAATTACCCAACACACACACACACACACACACACATCAGGGTTTGAACTATGTCTCTGTTAATTGACACCAACTCACAAGAAGGACTACTTATCTAGCTCAACTGATTCCACTTCATTTCGGATCCTGACTGAAAGCTGACTATTATGTGCACCTCTAAAGCTCATTAGCAGCTTTCTGAACAGGAACAGCAGGGCTGTCGTGAAACTGCTTCAATCCGCTTCTGCTCTGTTGTAACCAGCAGTCCTCACTTCACCCAGCGACACAGTGCCCACGGGATATGAATGTCAACTCACCGTGAAAAACCTTTACCACAGCTTTGGCACACGTAGGGTTTGCCGACTGAGCCGTCATGGGACCGCACATGGTACGACATCCTGTCCTTGCGTTTGAACCGGAGCCCGCACACATGGCAAGCGTACGGTTTCTCCCCGGAGTGGGAGAGCTTGTGCCGGTTCAGGTGGTAAACGTCGCGGAAAACTTTGCCGCAAATGTCACAGCCGACATGCCGCCGGGTCCTCTCCCGTTTGCGGCCGTTATCCAGCGCCAGCCCTCCGTGTAACTGCACGCCGTTTTCCACCAGACCGGGCTGAGACATTAAAGACATGCCGCCCGCCGCTGACAGGCTGTCACCGGCGTTGTTTACACCGCCGGTGTGCTGAGCTCCGTGCTGAGCTTCGTGGTTCTTCAAGCGGGAAGCCTCTGTAAAAGCTTTACCGCAGGTCCCGCAAGGAAACAGCCCATTGTCTTTCTGGGTGCTGCTGTGATTAAAGTGTATAGCCTCCACTGCCCCGCCAGCTTTCTTTGGTCTCCCCCTGCTCCGCTTCGACCCCGGGGAGCCAGCGTCGTGTTGAAACGCGTTCCCCGGCATTTCCGTCGACGGGGAGACGGACAGTCCTTCGACGGGCTCCAACATCGGCACCGACGACTCTCCGCCGTCCTCTAATAACACGGCGGCGGGCTCTTCGCTCCCATCCACATGCATCTGTGCATTGTTAGCAAAGCTCTGCCCGTTCACCAGCATTCCCGTTCCGTTCACCAGATCCTGCTGTGCCACCGGGAAACCCAGCTCCGTGGCCCCCGTGGCCTGGAAAAGGCTGGCGTCTCCTCCGCGGGAGGTGGGGACGAGGATCTGTACGTTGGACTGTTTGATGACCTCCTGACAGATCTCGATGACCGACCGCATCAGCAGAAACTTGGCAGCTGTCATCAACTCCGGGAAGCACTCCAGTCGCACCACAATCCTGGAGGTGTAGGCGAAGTCCAAAACGTCTTTAAAAACTTTCGGGCTGATGGTGTGCATCTCCAGCTCCTTGGCGTCGCCGTCGCCCTCCGTCTGGCGGCTGAACACCGACTCGAAATACTCGCTGCACGCCGCCAACACCGCTTTGTGAGCAGGGAAGCTCTCCTCGCCGACGCGCAGGATCACATCGCAGAACCTGCCTCCATCTTTCCTCTGAATGTTGAGGTTGTGTAGCATCTCCGCACTGTGCTTGCTCACCTGGTAGGTGTACGAAGAAGTCCAAGACGGCTCCGCTACCTTCTCCATGCCGAATTCATCCAATAACAGTGGTTGTTAGGGACAACGGTCGGAGAAATGACGGACTTCGTGTAACGAATTCGAGCCGTTGACAGCCGTTAGCTACAGGATCCGACACCAACCGCCCCTCCCCGTCGTCTTAGCATCTAACGTTTAACGTTAGCTGTAGCAGCAGCGGGGAAAAATGGCAGCCCCCCAGCTTCCTGTGAACTTTGACCCTGGTTTTCTTGAGGGGTGGGGGTCGCTCTTGTTTTGTGTAATAAAAAAATATATATATAAATGTTTCATCTAGGGTTTAATGCTGAATGTGTGTTTTTTTCCTTTTCTTTTAGCGGCTCCCTCGTTGTAATTGCAGGGACTTAAAGAGGAGTCGAGCCCGAGCTCCGCAGGGGTCGTTCGTGTCTTTGTGCCAAAATGTTACCACGCAGGTCTCTTCCTGCCTGGTCTGTTTGTAAAACCCCTCCCCCAACCAACCAGCCACAAACACGAAAACCCCCTTTTCCTCTGTACGAGCGCAGTACATTCAACAACACATGTAAGGCATTATACTGTATAAGTCACTCACTGTACTGCTCTGGATCGACTAAAAGACCATACAAAGAGTAAGACGTGAAAGTAAACGTAAAAACAAAATCTAATGAATGCACACTCACAATGGTATATACTGTAAAATATCAACGTCTAATTATGTAGAGATAATTTAACATTTGGAGAGTATGGACAACGTTATTTGGTATTTTTGAACTGTCTCTAGAGTAATACATTTCAGTTAATAAAAGCATTTCTTTGATTAAATCTTAAAGTTCATCCACTCGTACATTAGGTGTCAGAATATTAGAGAAAGGAAATGTAACACAACACCTCAGTGCAAACAAATACTCAACATTACAAGCTTCACCAAGATAGTGTTTATTGCAGCCCATTGCACTGGAGAGCCTGATCTATTGGTAGGGGTTTAAACTCTGAACAGCTAAATAAAAAGGACACAATCTTTAATGTGATTAAGAAATATTGTCCAACTAATAACTTTGAAATGCACACTGTCGTCACGATTCTTTAATAGAGACCTCAAACCCTTCTGTACCGACACGTCTTGTCAATTATAATGACAAATACTCAACTAGGCCATAATATCTACAACAAACAACAATCTGCAGATATATCAGCGACCAATTAATTAGTCTAGCTCTACATTGGACTGTGGACACTGCAGAATAAACCGGTAACTCAGGCGTGTCTAAAGTAGCAAGATTATACTGTAAGTGCCTAGAATTATATATGCAGTTAGTGGTTGCATTTTATTATGTAACATTTTGGATGAGCTTTCTAAGAACCTGCAAGACAACCTTCAGTATTCCTCTCCAAGTACAGCCAACTTGGATCAGAAAATGGGACTACTCTCACTCGTTCAAAGTTCGTACAGAATTCAGATTTACACTCAGTGGCCATTTAGATACACTTGAACAGTACACGGCAATACAATCCCAAACCACTGCTCTGACATAAATACAGTTTAACTATTTGTTGTGTTGTCGAAGAAAAAAAAAACAATTAAGCAAATTGTGTTTTACTGAAGATTTTATTTATTAATTCTATTTGTGCTTCTTATAACTTAATAGCACATAAACTGAATCCCAACCACCCTCAAAAATGACAATGTGAACAGTGCTGCCCCCCCTAGTGACAGGTTGGAGTGGAAGAGGATACAGTTTAAAAAAGGAAAAAAACAACAACAAAAGAAAAAAAAAAAAAGGCACAACCAGCTGCATCCCCTGGAGTCGTCTTCAAATGCTCCGGCCAGTCACATCTACAGAAAAGGGGCCAATAGCCATGCCACAAAGCAAAAAGGGTAGAGTAGTTACTCAATCTACCATTTCTCACTAGCAGCAGCCCTTTCTCTGTGAACTTCAGGGGGGAAATTAAAGTTGGACAAGTCAAAGGAATGCTACCAGCTCTCGGTGACTTTGTCTCTCGCAGTTTTCAGTTCGACTGCAGAATAGTTTCACCTTCCCCCATACCGAGAAAAAGAAAAAATAGCTATATACACAGGGAGAATAAGATTCTTTCCCATGGTCTGTACAATCGGGCCTATACATTATTTACTGCGCAGAGCCTAATACAAATAAAAAAAAAAGGGAGAAAAAAAAATTCACTCAGTCGGCCAAACTATTCGCCATCACTCATCTTCCCATTTCTGATGATAAGCCTCTTCAAAAGCAGTGACTTCAAGGTTGAAGACAAAACATGGCATGGTTAGACTGTCCAGGTCTGTGCACTGTCTTACAAATTAAAGTTCACATTTTTTTATGAGAGGAGATGGGCAAAAAAGAAAATATCTTGCTGTCCAGCAGAGTGTCATTTTCTCACGGCCGGAACTCCAACTCATCCACACTGATGACCTTGGCCGGCATGGAGGGGAGCGGCTGTTCTAGCACGTCGTTTCCGAACCACTTGGCGAGGCCTAGAGGGGGGCTGCCCCCGTGTCGCTGGGAGCCATTTGTCCGGTGAGGGCCTTGGCTCTGTGACTGAGGGCCTAGGACGTTTGAATGTACTGCAAGATGAGACAAAACAAACAGTTTAATCCAGAGGAACTAAATTCTCCATTATTGATTCTACATAGTTTTATACACACACACAATCTTTTTACATTATGGAGCTCCATGTAGTTTGTGTCAGTGTTTTCCAGCCCAAGTCTGAAACTTTTATATAATCCATAACCCTGTGAGGGGTCATAATGCTGCCACTAGCACATGCCCACACACAGTAGTAATATTTGACATTACGTCCACTCACTTGGTCTCTGATGCTGATGCTGCTGCTGCTGCTGCATTACTAACTGCATCTGATTATTGGCTCTGGGAGGTAGAAGAGGATGCCCTGTTGCACTTAGAGGGTACAGCGGTTGTCCAAGCAGGGCAGGAGGCAAGCCTTGAAGTTGTGCAAGGTCAACATGTGGTGGAAATATACCTGGTGTGTACAATTAAAACCTTCCGTCAGAGGTCATCAAGGCGAGAGGTTTAACATCAGGACAATTTTCCAAAAGCCATTACAGTTAAATACAGTTTTACTAAAGAGGAGAAGGTCGGGGGAAGCGGACACTAACCTGCTTGTACAAGAGCAGGTCCAAGCTGTTGGGGCTGGATACCCTGCGCCAGCATTCGTTGAACCACATTAGGGTGAAGCTGGGGCGGAGGGCGCACCATAGGTACATGGGATAGCAGCGGTACCGGATAAATAGGACGAGGGAAAGATGAGGAGGGTCCTGGAGGTACCATGTTGGGCGCACGGTGTCCAGCAGAGCCGGGTCTGAGACGCTCCTGGTCCTTGTTTGGCAAGGTATGCGAGCCAGCCTTTACTCCACCAGACTGGGCCGCATTCCCATCCATCATCTCCAGGTATAGATTTGGGGAGCTGCTGTCTGTAATCACATGACCCCACATCCCAATGTTACAGTTCCATAGTACTTCAGCTAAAGTTCAAATCAGATCAATTCAAAATATTAATCTGTACCATCTTGAGAGTGTGCTGCTGCATCGTCCTTTGAGTCCGAGCGACTCGACGGGTCGTCTCTGCTTTTCTCTTTTGTCGCATACATTTTGCGGATCACAGATGTGGGTGTAAATGACGGAGACAACTGCAGAGTAAAAATTACAGACAGATGTTTAAAAGAGTCCAACTTGACAGGACAAATCACAACAACGACAGCTGGAAAGACGCAGTTTATGCTCACCATGCTGGTGACAGCATTGCCTGGAGAGTTTCTTCCAGCAGACTGAGGGCCTGGACCAGGGGAGCAAGTTGTACGCTGCAGTCTGTGGATCCCAAGCACATCAGCCAAAGATAACTAGTAAATACTAACCATTTCTTCTTGTTATTTAGTTCAGATGCACACATTCAGTACACTGATGTATGAAAATATATGGCAAAATATTTATTAGTAAAAGAGGTCAGAGAACAATCATTGTTTTAAGCAGTACTGCAATAACATGTGAAACACTAAGCTGCATTTGCTCAAATTAAACATGCATGGAGCTCAATACAAATGTACTCATAGTATATGAAGCCGTCTGATTAGCGAAGGAGGCAACACATCACATTCAATTCAACAGTAGTTATTTCACCATCAATACATACTGCAGTATTTCAACATGTTTAAAAACAACTAACCTATTTCGAAAAGATTTGTCCTGTGGTGGCTTGTAGGCGGGCTGGAATGAGTGGTGGGCATGTAGAGCAAGATCCTGATGGAACGCCAGAGTTTCCAAGTCCGCCTGATTCACTGGCATAGAGAGCGCCCTCATCTGGACAAACAAAATGCACACAACTGAAGACGTCCCCAACTAACATCTTCAGATAATAGTATTTTTCTTAAAAAGAATGCATAATAAAGAAAAAATAGCTAGAAATAGTTAAGTTTTTTGTAAGGCAGCTCAGTGTGGACAGTGTGATTTATCTGTTCACCTGAAAACTGGTAAGCAACGTGAGAACTGTTTCGTGCATTACAAAATCTGAGCGCTACATGTCAAAATATCAACTACTTAGCTGATTCTAATATCTTACTGCTGCTGATTACACCCAAAACAGGAGCAAAATAAACAAATGTGTGTAAAATATCTTTTCAATAATCCAATATTAAAGCAATTAATCCAGGTTCATCGTGTGTTACCTGTTGGTGTGCAGCAGATCCAGGGCTGATAGACCTGTGTACTTCAGCAAACTGTTCTGGCAGCATGTGCTGAGGACCAACAGGAAAACCTTCAGACAGGAGGGAGAGAAAAAAAAAATATTTAAGTGTACCTGCACCCCCAAATTCTGCTAGGTCCAGTTGTGTCCCAATCAGTCCACTGTCAGCACTGGCCTTACACAGTTTACAGTGATTCAAAACTGAAGAGGGCGTTTTCAATTATTTTTAAAACATGAAATGCATATTTTCATAATTTAGTTTACACCTCAAAACATGTTTATTTTAGCCTTATAAAATCAGAAATAAATTGAGAACCATTTACGAGGACAAGGCCAAGAGGCTGAGACAGGAGGCTAGTCGAGACAAAACATTAAAAACAGAAAACTATAGAAAAATTAACTGTTATCAATAAGGGTGCGCTGATTGATCGGTCATCAATTGTAATTGGCCGATATTGGCTATATTTACTTTGATTAGCGTCTCTATAAACGCTGATCAGAAGAGCCAACGTATTTTATTCCACAGGAAGGTTATTCAGTCTTTGACACACACAGATGTACTTTGGTGGTATATTACAG